GGGGGGGGGGGGGGGGAGCGGGGGGGGAGAGAAAAAAAAGAATGCACACTCCTAGAATAGAAAAACAGAAAGCTTTTGAGAGCTGGAGACCTCCATAGGAAACCTGGAACTAGAAAGTGGAAACTAAAAGGCATTTTATGTGTTAACCCAGTTCCTCAATCAACTACTGGACAAGGGCACTATAAATGACAGTGTAATACTGTCTCACAGTAGTAGCCTCTGTAGTACTGTGTATCAGTAGCAAAGCATTCAATGGTTATCATTAATTTAGCGTTCTCATTTGAAGGAACATAGCATGTTTTCCCTCTTGCCTTGTTGTTACCTCTTCAGACTAAACTTGGCATTATGTTGTACTTGTGAATGAATGAAACCTTGTTGTTCATTACTATGAAACAATATTAAATGTCATGTCAGCTTGAATTTACAGACATGAAATACCAGCTTTCAGCCCTACGAACAGTTTCTCCATGTTATACTTAATGCATTATGCAGAAGTAGAGTGCTGATTGCTGTTCAGTCTATTGTTCAGTGACCTAGTTCTGTGCTGTGCATACTAGACATAAGAAGAAAACATTAGGAGTTTCTTTCCTGCAAGATGGTCAGAAACTTGGAAATGTTCTTAAGGACAAAACATACTCGATGGCCTTGATGCCTCATTTGCTCCACCTCCAAATACTTCTGCTTTCCAATGTGATTATTTTTCTATTATCATTATCTCTCAGTAATAAAACCCCATCAGGCCACCAACTGAGGAATTCTTTTGATTCCTGATTCTTCGATTCCTTCAGCCATGGATTTTTAAAATTATTTTCTGTTTAATTTGCAGAGAAAGACAAGAAAGCACAACCTGACACTGGATCTGCTACAACATGCAGCTGAGGCTTTTCAGGTACTAACTGCATTTCTAAAAGTTACTCAGAATTTTGAAGCTGTTGAACAAAATAACTCTGCATTTTATATTTGGTTAACTTCTTATTTTCTTCTGTAAAATCTGTGGTTGATGAAGGAGCTTACACATACAAAGGAACTCACGAGAAAAGAAGGAGTTACAAATGAAATGTGACTGCAGAAAGGCACTGCAATACTAGAGGCCCAATATTTTACTGAAAGATGTTGTGCAATATAACAATACACCTGAATCATCAGGATGGGATCTGTTTTACTGGTAGACAGAATACAAAATAAGTTTGTCAAGGATTCTGCATTCCATTGCAAAAGGCTGATTTGCAGTTGAGATAAAAACAAAGATCAGTACTAAGAAAACAGCTTTTGGCACATACATTATCTCTTCCAAAATATTTGTGCTAAAAGCTTTTTCTTAAGGATGTTAATACAGCACCTGCAGTATTCTTGGAAGAACAGCCTTTAAGTGTGTTTCAGAAGAAGGAGAAATACCTTTATGCTCTAAAAATCAACAGACTCTGCTACATATCAATATGCACATTTGGAATATCTTTCTAGTCATTCATTCTCTTTGATTTTACCAGAAAATATTCTGTTAAAAAAAAAAAAAATGAAGAAGAAAAAAAGAAAGTTTCTGAAAGAATATCAATATTTTGACATGGAAGGAGAAAAGGGAAAATTACATGAAAAGGTTCAGGAACAGTAAAATGAAAGCATTTATACCATAAAAATACCTGCTCTTGTCAAACAAAGGACATGTACTTATTTTATAACCCCCTCCTAATTCAGAAAAAGCTGTAACAAAGCTAGCTATATTTAAGTCTTTGAAATGCCTTTTAAAGACATTCCTTTGCTTGCTTTTTTACTGGAAATAATCTTCATTGTGATTGTCAGAAAATTTTCAGTATTTGCATTGGATTTAGACAAATTCAGAGAACTGTAAAACACAGAAAAATGTTCTTTAATACCAATAATGTTTTTATCTAGTAGATGCCTTTACAATCCATGAAATACAACAAATTCATAATAAATTTATTATTAGAGAGGAAACTTGTCTCACTAGGCTCCAATCCATTTTTATGGGATTTGTCTTTGCTCCCATCTTGAATTCATCCTAAAGAGAAGAGTTACTTGCACTAAAAATCCTTTAAAAGTATACCCTTTTCCTAGTATGAGCAAGGACTGAGAGGAAGATTGATTCTGTACATAATATTCCTATATGAACAAAAAAAGGCATACACTTTCGTTTAAAGTCAATGGCTATATATGGCTGCACTAACAAATATGTTACCTACATGTGCATTATGTTCACAGACATGTACATCGACCACTGGGTGTATTGCTACCTCCCTAACCTTCATTAAGAGAAAACTTTGGTGAGTTTATAATAAGGTGCACTGCTACGGACCGTGCAGGTATACTGTTTTCTGTAAAAAAGCCTTTTGGACCTCTATTTTTGAACTGATTTTTTTTTTTTTTTGTACTGGCTATGGAACTTATCCTGTATAGTCACATTAAGTTTTCCCATTTAAATTTCAGAAAAAAGGTTTAGGACATGACACTGACAACCCTTTCACATTATGAGATCAACACAGTCAATTGGAGTTTGCGCTAGAAAGCTGAAAGCTCTTCCCAGCACAATTCAGATTCTTTGTGCTTCTTTATATGTTGAACACACAGTAAAAAAATAATCACTTTTTTAAAATGAGAAAAAGAAAAAAGATTCTTCTTAGCAGCCAAATCTTAATTTTCCATTCTGTGATATAATTAGGCACTTATTTATGCGTTGTCAGTCACAAACATGCAGAAAACGTAAAAGTTATTGAAAAAATTAAAGTCTCCTCAACTGTCTTGCAGGACTGTTGGTTCTCTAAGTGCTTTGAAATTATGATGTATGAGGTAGATGTTGCATATTAAATAAAGATATTTAAATTATAAAGCCCCCGTTAGTGAGAGCTGATGAATGTTAAATGTTATGAGCCACAAGGCTGTGGCATCCATCATATTCACATATTATCACAGTCAGTGATGGAGCAGCCCCAGTGATGACAGATAGACTGCTAGATAGTTATCCCTTATTTCCAGAGTCACCAAGCAAGCCTTTCAACCCCTTTGGCATTATTTTTAGCTTTGCATTAAATTAGCAACTTTTCTGTCACTCTCTGGCAGAAAGTATCGATTCTTTCTTCACGTGTGGAAGGTAAAAGAATGATTTAGTGAAGCAAGGAGTAAAGGAAACAGAAGCAGTAGCCCCTACCTCTGAAATGGCTGCAAACTTCAAATGACTAGAAACAAATATAAAATTGTGATCTCGTGAAAGAACAGCAATGAAACAGTAAGCACACAATAATGGCTTTTCTCTGCACTTAGATAAAAGCTGAATTTTTGATGTGCACAGTATATTTTCATAAAATTTTATATACTATGTTTTATACACTTATTGGCTATTCCATAATAATGTGTGTGCTAACAGTAAAATTGCTCTTAAATTTATGTATGTTATTTATACGTTCCCACGTAACAATGCTTTTTGTTGTAAAAAATATTCTGTTTATTAATGTAACTTTACAACCACTGCATCCAAGATCCGTGGTAAATTAATGACATTTTTATTATTTTATAGTGTCATTAAATTTTTACTGATCACTCCATCAAACAGAAGCAATAAAGGCCATAATGCAAACTGGGACACTTAGATCAGGGGAGCAGGAAGGCATTCCATATAGTCTGAAGTAAACGGCTTGCTATAAATGATATTTATACCATCTTTAAGGATGTGAGAATACTTGGACAAGTTTGGCAAAACTGTTTCTGTAGTACCGTGGATTGTGTACTTAAATAACAGTTTACTTGCCAGCAAGACAATTTTTTTTTTCAAACCATATGCAAGAAGATGACTGATTGCATCCATCTCTTGAAAAATAATATACGAAATGTAATAATACACTGGGCACCCCTCCCTTCTGGATTACCAAGACTGATCCGACTATACCCATGCCTCAAATTATTTCAACATGCTTGCTTTTTCCACATCTGAAATGTATGCTTAGTCTGAAATGGAAAATGGCATGCATGCTGATCGTTGTGTAAAAGATTTAATATATATATATATATATATATATATATTTTTTGCAAACAAATATTTCTTATTTAAGTAGACATATTTGGACAATGATGTAATACCCTTTATTTCAATAGTCTAGCGTGGAAGCAGTTACCAAGATTAATTTAAAGAGCCAGTTTCTAGAAACTGAATTAATACAGGTCATTCACAGAAGCCAGAGCATGTGACAGAAGGGATATTATTTCTTCTGAGGACAGTACTTTACTTAGAATGACTACAAATAATTATCACATGTTGTCTTTATATATGAAATGTATTTCAATTGAATTATTCCATACTAAATGTTCTAGTGAGTTATTTGCTAACTGTGATCTATTCCCTTCATGTACAACAGGCAAACAACTTACTATATTCAAAACATAAAAAGGACGTATTTGCTAGAACACAGAGAAAATTATTCCCAGTTTGAATAAGAAGGAAGCACAAAACTTTTTTTTCCCCCCTGGGAAGTCAAGATAGAAATGTCCCAAAGCTTTTCATCTTCTTCTTACTACTTTTTAATGGCTAGGACTGAAAAGTTAAATTACCTCCACTCAGAATCTTTTGCAACATCTTGGCAGGGCAGGGATAATTACAAATTGACTTTCAGCCTTATCTCTGGATATTTTAGTTATTACGGGTGGGAAGTTTAAACATTAACCCTATTACAACAATGTCAGTCATCCTACTGGTGTGCAGGCATGCAACTGCTGGAATTCTTTGGATGGCAAAGTAGATAAACACAATAGTGGCATTTTTTTTTTTACAATTAAAAGCAAGGCCTTTGGTTTTGCAGAACTGTGGTGAATATCTAGAATTTGTTTTCAACATCACAGCAGCGGGAGTTGCTCCAAGATACTAGAGAAATTAAATTAGCAAAGTAGGCAAACTTATTGTCAAAATGCTGATATTTGAAGATATTAGAAGATACAAAGTGTACCTTTTCCAACCACTGATGGAAACAGTGCACAACAGCTTGCACAAAGGCTATGCTGAGTTCTATGATGTTGATACGACCTGACCTTAGTTTATTTTTTATGTAAGTGAAATACCTGAATACAACGACCTCAGGAACCAAAGGGACAGTTCAGTGAATTTTCACCCTGACATACTGCTGTTTCCAGTTTTTTAAGGCCCCTGTATTGTCCATAAGCTGTTCCAGTACTATCTTCGCATGTTGAACATAGAGCATGCACTAGCATCCCTGCCACAGACTGTGTGTCAGCACAGTGCCTCAAACTAAACAGCTTGCTTGAAAAGATGTGGGGAGACAGAAGCCATTGGATCCCTTTTAAACATATTCTTCCATCTTAAAGCATAACTGAAGAGTAAGATTAAAAGCAGATAACAGGGAATTTACACTAAAATATCTCTGCCTGACTGGCAAGCCTCAGCTGGCTTCCACGTGACAATGTGACATATGCAAGACTATCGCAAGCAGAAAATACTCCAAAGCTGGTAACAGAATTTCATAGTGATTGCCATGATATGGGACTTTCTTCTTTTAAGACCCAGGTTCTGGGAGTCAAAATTGAGAACTGAAATTTCATCAAAATTTAAAGTGTGTTGGAAAAAAGTTTGAAACAGGAGTGCTAAAGGCAAAAAATTAATCAGATAGATAAAGACAAACCCAAACAGCCTACTTGAAAACCCTCTCTTTAGCCAATTATTTTGGAAGTCTGATTTTAATGATCAGAATACCTAGACTCTCTGGTTAGGGTAAGCAGTCCTCATCTTGATCTCCAAACGCAAATAAGAAGTATTTAGACAAATTCTCTGATTATTGGAAGCATTCAGCACATACTAATAAGTTAATAGACTTCAGTGCATTGAAGCTTGCCTTTAAAAATAAGTGTATGAATTTAAAAATATAAAAAACCCCA